GAATGTACATCTTCTAAAATTTTAGCATTGTAGCCATTTCGCCAACAAGAATGTTCTTGCACGTTGATAGAACTGCGAGATCAAAAGTATGGTTTGGTGGCTTAATATAAACTATAGTAAAATGATACTTACTTTTGGAGTTATTTTGCATGAAATTATATGCAAATTCTTCTTGACCCTATGAATTTGTTCCACCATTTTGGATGAGCTTGAGCAAAGCAACGCAACATATTTCCTACAGTGCGGGTTACCACCCCGGTCTGTCCACCCATTTGTGGGTGATACGAAGCTTAATCGGAATTCGTTTTGTAACCTTTTCCATAATTCATGCCAGAGACTAATAAATTTTACATCTCTATTCAAAGTAATGCTACGAGATAGCTCAAGAAGACACTATTTCATGGAAGAATAACTGAGCGATGTGAAGCATGTTAGAAGTCTTCTTGTAAGCAATGAAATGTGCATTTTTGAGAATCTGTCCACTACTACCATAATAGAATCAATATCTCGTTTATTTCGCAATAAACCCAAAACAAAGTCCATACTTTCATCTTCCCATATGGAATTCAGGACCGATAATGGTAAATTAATCTTGTATTTTGAGATGTCTCTTTGTAAGTTTGACATATATGACACTTTTCAACATTGCGTATAACGTCACGTCGTCAGTGCTACCAAAAAAGCATGGACTACAACAAAGCCAAAGTCTTTTTGCACCCTACACGGCCTCCTATACTGCCAGCCTGCACTTCCTTATACAATTGCAAGCATAAAGAGGTATTCATAATACATAACTGGTTACCTCAAAAGAGATAGCCATGGAGAATGGAATATTCTCCATTCAATTTAGAAGAGTGGCATTTATTACATGGATCAGAAAAATCAGCATCGTCACTGTATAGTTCTTGCAAAGATTCCAAACCTGTAATTTGTGTTTTTAAGGTTGTCAGAAGTGCTAACTTTCGACTGAGAGCATCAACAACCTTGTTTTGTAAATCGGCTTTGTGTTTAAACACAAAACTAAACTTTTGCAAGAATAAAACCCAACGAGTGCGGATCCTACTCAATGATTTTTGAGAATTGAGGTATTGTAAAGATTGATGGTCAATGCATAAAAGAAAATCCTGATGTAGAGGATAATGTTCCCATTACTTTAAGATTCGAACCACTACATACAATTCATGTTCATAGGTTGGCCACTTTTGCCTTGCTTTTTCACTAAAAATGCAATGGGCCGCCATTCTTTAGAAATAACAGCTCCAATGCCAATAGAAGAAGCATCAACATCCACATGAAATGGTTCGTCGAAGTTTGGTAAGGCCAAAACTGGAGTTGTTATTAAAGCTGTCTTAATAGTTTCAAAATTGTGTTGTTGTTCACCTCACTAATGAAATGTTTTATTTTTCAAGCAATCAATAATTGGTGCGAGAATACTACCAAAACCTTTAATTAAACAACGATAAAATTTTGCCAAATCATGAAAACAACACACCTCAGATAGAGATGACAAAATTGGCCAACCTTTAATGGATGAAAGCTTTTGGGAGCCCATTTGTACCCCTTTTGCCGAAATCACATAGCCCAAATAATGAACACTTGGTAAAGCAAATTCATTCTTTGATGTAATGAGGTAAATTTTATGAGACCGTAGAACCATAAATATTGAATAAATGTGTTGCATGTGCTCTTCAAAAGATTTGCTATATGTTGATATGTCATGAAAGTAAATGACACAAAAAATATTTAAAAATAGCTTGAGTAACTCGTTGATGAGCCCCATAAAAGTGCTAAGTGCATTGCATAACCCGAACAACATCACCTTCCACTCTTAAAGGCTCTCATGACTTTTGAATGTGGTATTCCATTCATCTCCCAGCCTAATGCGAAATTGGTGATATCTTCTACGAAGACCCAACTGGGAAAATATTGTACCACCAGATAGTTTATCTAACATATCTTCTAAGTGATGAATCAAAAAATGATATTTGACAGTTATTTTATTAATTGCGCTGCTATCCACACACATTTGTAATTGACCATCTTTCTTTGGCACCAATAATGCTGGAATATTGCGAGGGCTCATACTGTTTTTTGTAGTATGTAAAATGTTGTGCGTTGAAAGTAACTAATGTATCTTTCTCTTTCATTCAAAAAGAGCATACATTAGGACGGCATTAATTTATTGCTCCAATATGAAACTGCCAAGGTCGACCGATAATTAAATAACAAACATCCATGTCTAAAACATCACAAAGTACCTCACAAACAAAATATTTCCCAATAGAGAATGTGACATGATAAATATCCGTAACTAAGACATCAATACCTCGTTTCACCCAACTAATCATGTATGATTTATGATGTTTACTAGTTTTGAGATTGAGAGCCTGTTCCACAAAGTTAGAGATGATATTTTCAGTGTATCCACCATCAACGGGTAGATCACACACTTTTCCATTAACCATACACTTGGTTCGAAAGATTGCATGACGTTGTGAATAGATTGGTTGACGAGGAGTAATCAATTATTTTTCTTAGACACAAATAAGGGGTTCTTCTTCATCCTCATGAAGTTCTTCCACCTCTTTCTTTTCTTCAAAATTTTCCTGATCTCCATCATTTTATGCATCTAAGAGTTGTTGCTATAGTTGAGAGGGAAATTTGTTTGATTTATGACTCGGTTGAAAGCATCTGTAACACCTAAGGTTGGTGGGTTTGCTCTAAGGATTATCCGTGGCCTGCAGTTTTGACTTGCTGACAAATCTAAAATCTATAGTAGAAGTGTTTTTAACAGCATTTGGGGATGGATTAAAACCAGATTTACTTTCTAATGGTTGAAAACTTGTCTTATCATGTATGGGTTCTTGAGATTCCTTCTTTGTCGAGTTCCTCCTGTTGTGCTGATTGATTTGGATTTCTACGTTATTTGCAAAATTCACAACCTACGACAAGGATCAAATCGAACTCAACTCAAGTTATCTTGGATTGCTTCTTTGAAACCTCCAATATATCCGACAACCATTTGATTGTATATCTCATTTTAGATTCTTCGCGCACTCAGCCGATTGAATTGCTTGGCGTACACACTAATAGTTCAGTGAACTCGTGTGTAATATTTGTATTGAACATATAACGTTTGCTTGAAATTAGTAGGTAGAAAATGAATTCCAAGGAATTACATCATTCTATACCAACTTCTGATATGGTCTTTTCCTTTTCGCAGACGAGATTGTAACAATTGTGACCACCATGCGGCTATTGCCCCCTTTAGTCGACACACTACATATTTGACTTGCTTTTCCATCGAAATTTCCATATATTTAAAAATATTTTCTACGGCTTCCCCCAATTGAGGTAGTCCTGAATGTGTAAATGACTATCGAAGAACGGAATATCCAGTTTAACCTGAAATTCTTGTGGATTTCTATCATGAAATTGATACTTATAATTTCTTGATCTGTCGGTTAGGTAAATTTCTCTTCCTCTGAATCAGAAAATTCGAATCGCGAATGCAGATCTTGTTGGCTTTCAGGAATCAAATGCATGAAATCCATACCTAGCATTCCTCTTTATTTCCTTATTCCCCAAACCAACTGGCAATGAGGATAGGGAGCGATCGATTACTCTGATGATTTGAGAGTCTGTATCTCCCTCCTCATCTCCATCACAATCTTTCGAATTCTGTAGTGAGTTCATCAATGCATTGTGTGGTTATTGTGTGCGCCTTCCACACTGCATCTATGCTCCGATCATCATCGTGAGCAGCCATCCTCCTAGTTCCCTAATCGATGCTCTAATACTAATTGGTGTGGTACCTACACAGGGAGAAAACAAATTCTGTATAGAAGCCAAAATATCCAAATTCTGTATCAATATTCCTAGTACAGCTATATATACCGACTCATATAGCCTATTTTATCTTAAGGACAGAACAAATCTATAAATTCTATATAAGAAAAATATTTCCAACTATAAATGGAAACGTAATTACAGAAAAATAAAGGTAAAATGGTCTGTACTCTTGCATAAGCTAAGATGTTCCACATCAATTTCTTAGGCTTGCATCCAATTATAATTGGTCATTTGATGACATTCTCTAGATTTACATCAAATGAATCATTGTTTCTGAATGATTTTAATTTGAAAAAAAAAAGGTAAGGCCATTTAATTTTCATCAGGTTTCATGGTTGTGTAATATTAATCCCGAACACCTCTGTTGGCGTTATCAAGTAATGCATAAATGGTTATCATCAAGGGGCTAATCGAGCATCGCTTTGTTTGAGCAAAAGCAAAGCTTGATAGATTGATAATATCTCCTTGAAGAACTGTAGACTGGGTATTATCCTATTCTTTCTTTGTTGCCTTGCGAAGAAAATACGCTATGCAGATTCAGTCGTGAGTCTAGCAACACTATTGTTTGTTACTGTTTGAATGAGGTTTCACTTATTTCTCAACAGTATAGAATATGCCATCGAGAATGTTAACATAAAAATATATCCTTACAAATCAATTACTTCTCCTTGAAGGTATCATAGATATATTAGCTTGCAGCTTATGCATCTCATGGAAGAATGCCGGAGGCTATGATCTTATGGCTTCATTTGGTTTTCTAAGCAAATACTCAAAATAGTAGTTCTATGATGAGAAAAGTATCAAAAATGGTCCCCTCTCCACAGGGCCATTTTAGTCCCAGAGCTTATACAAATATCAATTTAGTCTTCAAAATCTTTTAATATGGGTAAAAATAGGTTTTTCAGCCTTCATTAAAAGTGCTTGGGGAATAATTTGGCACTTTTATAAACTCAAAAACTAAAATGACCACATGTAATATTCAAGGGACTATTTTGATACTTTACTCGTTCTATAATAAAGGAAAATACTTTTTCTATGGCGGAATTTGCAGTTCTTCCCTCTTTTTTCTCTTTTTTTTCTGAATTGTTAGTCATAGTTTTATTGTAGTCATCAGTGGCATTTGCCAAATGCTTTAATTACCTGTGCAGAGATTAGAGACAAAGACCTCAAGGCGTAAATCCATTGCCTGTTTCTGTGCATCTCTGGTGTTAATAAATCTTTCAGTTGGTACATTCAATGGAGTTGCATCAGACCTGATTGATGGTTCATTGAAAGAAAAACCTGTTTGTCGAAATTGTGGGGGCACAGGTGCTATAATATGTAAGAATATTTTTTTTCCTTTCCCTTTTGTTTTGTTTGTTTTATTTATATATCTAGCCTTTCAAATTTGCTTAAATTAAAATATTAAATAATGTTCGGTGACAACTTATAACTATCATTTGAATGTTGCATGTCAGAATCACTGTTGGCATTAGAATTCAATGGAAATACTATGTTTTATTTTCTATAAATTCTTTAATTATTGGATTACACTTTCAAATGAATTGAGTATTGAATAAAATGACATGAACATGTTTTGAGAACTTTTTTCGAGGTCAAACATAAAATAAACATTGCAAAGTGTGGAAGAAATTTCTTTATATCCAGCCAGTCAGTTCATGCTGCTACCTTTCTCTGTTACAGAGCCTCTTCTTTGTTTTGGAAGATTTCCATACATGCCACTCAATACAAATGTATTTAAATATCTAACACCTAAACTTCAAATTTTACACACTTTTAAATATCTAACACCTAAACTTCAATTTTTACACACTTGACTGCCTGTTTCACTTTTTAAAAGTTAAAATGGTGGTATTTTTGATGTATTATGAAAGATTTGGGTGAATATAAAAATGTAAATTTCAGGTGTTAAAGATGTGAATACATGACAATTGGGTGGTATGTCCCTCTAAGGATTGTAGAAACCCTTTCAAGCTGCATCAGCATTGTATAAATTTCATTTAATGATCCTTAGGTCTGTATTAGACAATATAGGTTTATTCAAGATCAATTTATTTTTTTGTTTTTTTATTTGTTTTTAAAAATACATTTATTTATTATACTTTTCACATTATTCTTTTTTCATTTTTGAAAACAAATTAACTTTTTTTTTAAATACTAAAAATAACTTTTAGATGTTTTGAATATTTTTAAAAATAATTATTACCACCAAACATATTTTAGTTTAAATCGAAATATAGACAAAACAAATTGAAATAAGAATGAAAAATAAAAAAAAAAATTGATCCCAAATGAGACCTAAGATAATAATATTTTGGGGCATTTACATGCATACCACACAATTGTTATGTATTTACATATCTGATACTTAAATACATAGCTCTCAAATCTTATAAATTACATTAAAACTATCATAATCACTACCCTTTTAAAAGTGATATATCTTTTCATGCATAGGTTTTTGTGGATTTTTGGGAGGAATAAACTCTCTTGTTTTCATTAAGCAAATAACAAATTTATATAATACACAAGTTAGACTAATCATCATACAACTGGAGGGAAAACCAACCATTATGATAAAAATGAAAGAAATAAAAAAATAATAATGGATAATCAAGCTAGAATAATTTCTCCCTCTCAAATATAATGGCGGAGCAACGGTTCCCTAAACTAGATATGCATATCATAAATCGCAAACTTGTTGTTTAGATCACTAAGTGGCGCTGAGAAAGTGCCTTGGTAAAAATGTCAACAATCTAATACTGAGTTGGGATATAGCTTAGCTGAACAATCCCTCCATTGACCTTCTCAGAGATGAAATATTTTGTTAATCTCTATATGTTTGGTTCGATCATGGTGTACCAGATTCTTTGATATACTGATGGTTGATTGACCATTCTAGAAGAAACTTGATGGTTCTCTTCTGCTCAACAGTGTTTTTGTAAAGGACAGAGACTTGGCTAGTTCCTTAATGTTTGTGTTTCATAGATATATAGTTGGGGCCAATATTTGAAGAGTGTGTTGAAGTATTGAGTAACATTCAACTCTTCTACCTCATGTATTGTAATCTAGTTTCAATGTCAAACAATTCATAGGTGTTGTCAACAATTGCATATGCTTCTTTAGTAACATCCCAAATTTTTTATGTTGTTTTTTTATGAGAGGAAGTTTCCACCAATTTCTATGGTCATGAAGTTGACGAGCTATGACATGACAATGTGATCTTCAAATTTACTATGTCTGATGTTTCAAATCAGTGATTTCTGGTGCATGATTTTCTTTGGTAAGATATAATTTTTTCTTTTACCACAGATATACATAAACACAGATTGAGATATTTGTAGGAAATTTTGTATGTAGTTTGTGATTGGTGATGTAAAAATGGACTCCAGATGTTACAGAGCCAAAATCATAAGTTCGGGTTCAAATCTAACTTTTGAAGACGAAGAAGCAATTTTCATCTCGTATTTGGTCATCATCAGGGGAGAAACCGTCTGTCATCAACATGAGATTGTCGCTAGAAAAAAAGTTGTTTGTCACCAACACAAAATTTCCACTAGAGGAAAATTATTTATGTCGACACAGAATATCCACTGGAAACTGTCTGTCTTCCACATAAAATTTCTGCCACAGGATCACGACACTAGCAAATCATGGATTTTCTCAATGTTTAAACTGATTAGGAAAACAACAATTTTTATCCCCGTTGAAAGCAACTGCATAGCGGATTCAAGTTGTGCTGAAGAAGTGCATGCGATTGCGACTGGGAAGCAGAGGGAGGAGGTCTGTGATTGCAAAGCACCTTCGATTAATTTGCACTGGAGAGAAAAATTGTCACACGAGGGGTGGATTTGCAGTAGAAAGAGAAAGTCCCCCGACTGCCACTAATTTCCGCTAGACTAGAGAGAGAAAGTGGCATGGAGGGGAGAAAAATAAATCTACGGTTGTGATATCCGTGATTTGCACGAGAGAGAGAGGGAGGATCTGTAGCTGAGGTCTCTGTGATCTGCACCAGGGAGAGAGTCACAGATTTGATCCGCTTGTTGGGTGGCAACTGTTGTCGGGATGATTTCCAGGCAGATCTGCCTTGAGGGAACTGTCGCTGTTACCTAGATAAGGCCACCCCTGCTGCCCGGGAGAGTCTAAACGAAGAACATAGGAATTTCCGGTTTCTCGACAACTTTTGAAGAGGCTCAAGCGGCTGAAATAACAGCTGGGGATTATTTTCTTGCTCTGATATCATGTAGATTTAGAGGAATAATTTCTCATTTTATCAAGCAAATAACAAATATATATACACAACTAAGACTAACCCTCATCATACAATTGGATGGGAAATCAAATCTTATGTTAAAAAGGAAAGAAATAGAAACACAATAATGGATAATTAAGGGAGAACAATTTCTCCACCTCAAATATAATAGCGGACCAACGGTTCTCTAAACAGGATATGCATATCAACAATTTATATCACCAACATGTTATAAATGCAAATATCAAACTTTGAGTGTTAGATATGTACATACATAAGAATTTTGTGTTATGTATGTAAATTTCTTAAATTTTTTGTTAGATATGTTGTGTTAGACATAAATTATGTACATATCAACAATTTATATCACCAACATGTTATAAATGTAAATATCAAACTTTGAGAGTTAGATATGTACATACATAAGAATTTTGTGTTATGTATGTAAATTTCCTAAATTTTTTTACTAGATGAAGATCTGCACTTCGTATATTTGTAATCTGACCTAAATTCAAATTTTTTATTGAAGGGTAGATTTTTAACATTTTATCTGATGATCTGATCACATAAGTTTACTTGTGTGAAATTAGGTGACATGTGTGGGGGCACTGGAAAATGGAAAGCTCTCAACAGAAAACGAGCAAAAGATGTATATGAATTCACTGAGTGTCCTAACTGCTATGGTACGCCTTCAATATTATTACATGAAAAAGTTTCAAAATGCTTCCCAGTCCTAGAGTCTATGAAAGTGTCAATTTAGTCCCCATGTTTTTTTAAAGGGATAAAATGTTTCTCCTTTTTGATGTTTTTATAAACTCCGAAACTAGAATGATATCACGCAAAAAATTAGGCCGCAAGGACTGCAGTTTTACCGTGTAGGCTAAGCTTTTCTTTTCTTTATTATGATTTATGAATTAGATGCATGGGTTATTTTCTTAAAGCTGCTTTAGAAACGTTTCTTTAGTTTCATTTTTCTCCGTAGTTTCAATTTGGGAATGTGATTGTAGTTGCTCAATTTATTCCCTATTTCCATAGACTTGTGACCATGCCAGTAAACATTATCAAGAGATAATCACCTCTTCGCGTAGCTCAGTTCTCAATGAATAGGGATCATTGTATGACCGGAAGCCTCTGGGCTAGATTCGAGATGTGAAGATAGCTAGCTTGCAGAGCCACCGAGACGGATCAATCATATTAATCCGACCAGGGAGCTCAATAGGACAATATGCCCAAAATGGTCAGCTTCCAATACTTGTCCACGATAGCTCGGCTAAACCTCATAGGAGACCAACCAAGTCAAGCTCTTACAAGCGGATTCAGTAACAAAGCCCCTCAAAGCTATTGGAAGGACCTCTCAAACTTGCATTAGGGCCGAAGAGGCCAGCCTGAGCGTTGTCACAAGTGAAAACGCCAAAAGAGTAGTGTTGAATTCTTTTATGATGCAGGGTTTCGTAGAATTTGCGAATTCATGCAATCTATGAGAGATCTTGTGAGATGAGTGGACAATGTGGAAATGGGTTGAGTTCCAACTTGAATGTGTTATTCCTAATGCCCTCTTTCTTCTTACCCTTGTAGGGCTGCCAAAAGAAAAAGAAATAAAGAAATATTATATTGTAGACCGTATTGTACAAAATCTATTTGAGATTTATTGTTGAAAAGATATCGTCACGGGTATCAGGTGACTCAAAAATTGGCATAGATAGTGATGAGTTAAAGTCCCTTTTTTCTATCATTTTGGCAAATTTGAATGATCGGTAAATGAACTCGATGGTAAATCTCGGCAAATGCAGGCGAGCTCAACAAACAAGCTTGATGTATACATGCGATCTCAGTGGAGATGCTTGATGACTACAAGAGAGCTTGGCAGAGGAGCTTGATAAGTACAGACAAGCTTGACGGAGGAGCTTGCGAGGTTCTCTTGAGAAGTAATCCTTGTGTCTATCACTTCAATGGACGTGGTTGACAAATACATTCTATCAACTATAGGATCTAGGTGTATGATAATATTTACATTTCAAAAAAGGCCTGATTTAATCGGCCTAGAAGGCCCATTCACATGTCGGCTTTCTTGGTAGCTTAGGAAAACCACTTTAGGATGTACATTTAGTTCTCTGATTCTTTGAGGCTTTCGGCAAGATACTGGGAGAAGAATTAGAAAATGAAGAGAGATTTGTCATTTATATGCTTTTGTTGGATGAACTTTGAGATCATAACAAGCGCTCTGTTGGCCAAAGATTGACAAGAGACTGGATTATATTAATCAAAATAGTATTTTGCACCATCACAAATTTGTTGGCTACACCTTTAGGGAGTAGTCGCAAGGGCCTACTGTCGAGCTTAAAATTTCTTTCATCTAGTGGCACTTTGGCCACACCTACAGGGAGCAGTCGCGAGGACCTTTGAGTAGACGTGAATTGACTTTTACCTTGGGACCATTTCTTTTTTGGATGGTGAAAGCAGCTTATTTCATTCTTACTACTCGTATAAGGTGTAGGCGGATCTAATGGGTGAGAATGAAAATGAAAATGCGACTAGACGTTTTATTCTCTAATGCGATGAGGAAGTGCAATGTAAGGGGAGATAGTACAAGACTTTCATGTTATGGAAGTTGCGGTGGTTTTAACTACCCCCTTTGTCAGAGGATAACTATCATGTCGTCTTTAGATGAGATTTACGTTGGCATTATTGATGTCTGTTGATACTCTGTTAATGTCGTTATAAAAGAAAGGAAAATTAAGGGAGGTCACTAGGGGTGTGTATTTTTTGGTTAAAATCGAAAAATCGATTGAACCGATCAAATTTGGTTGCTTCAATTTAGTTTCAACAATGAATTTCAGTTTTTTGTTTTCAAACTTAAATATTTGATTTTCGATTTTCAATTTGATTTAAATTTTCATTTAATTTAACAAATCGAAAAATCAAAATTTTACTCAATTTCTTTTATTATATTTTAATTTCATGCCGAATAAGCTAACAAAATCAAATTTTTTATTTTATGCAACATTTTGTTGAAATAAATAGAGTACCCATAAAATTAAATTAATATTATCGAACTCCCATCAACATTTGTCGGAGGCGAGTCATCGCTTAGGATTACTAGGACTGGGTTAGTTACATCAAGAGAAAACATAAAGAAGAGATGACCCTGAAAAAATCTAACATGATCGAGGTTCCTCATATAATGGAGTTGATCCCACTCAGACGATGTAAGTGACATGACGCTCTCACCGAGTGGCAGTAGAGCACCAACAGTTTTTTGTGCCCAGCAGCAACAGTGACTTCTTGTGTGGCCCCTTCGATCGGTAGGCCTTGTATCACAGTAAAAGGTCTGATGGATCGATTGTCCGACTGATCGCCTGAATGTTCCTCTGCTGAGAGTTAGGAACAAATCAATTGACCTTACCTGAACGACCAATGTGATGATTTTCTTCTTCTTTTGGCCTTCCGAGCTGTATTGCTCCTTTGTTCTCCCAAAGACAACACAAAATAGTTCTTGTTGGAGATTTCACCTTGGGGATTTGACAAATTCACCATTTTATTGTTCGGAAGCTAGCCGATTCAAACAAGAAGGGATGCAGAGCAAATATGGAATGTGGTGATTCCCGTCATGTCTATTTATAAGGATCAAAGGCGCAAAAAATAAGGTTACTCAATTATTGAATCATTGATTAATAAGAAATACGACTTACTTTTTGCATTAATTTCTTTTATTTTTATCGCAATGTCGCTTTCAAGAAGAGAATAAAAAAAACAAAAATATTTACATCGAAAATATGTCAGCGTTGATTATGAGGAAATCTAAAGTTCAAAGGAGAAGAGTATGACGAGGTAGGGCTCACTAATAGAAGAACGTGAGACCTTATTTGACCAAATGCAGTCGTCTGAGCCAAAGCTAGCAGTGTCAAAACCTGTCGAGCCACGATGAGGAAAAAAAGACCACCAAATGTTTCGATTTTGAATTGTTGAGTCAGAACGAGATAAAAAGACATCCGAGCAAACCACCACGAAAAAGCCAACCTGAAGGAAGACCCAATCCCTCATCATCTTTAATCATATAGGTGACGTCCAAAAGTCTTATTGTCTATTATTAATGGTCGACAGCTAGACTAGATCAGTATCCAAGCAATGCCAACCAAGTCGAACCGATCAAATTGATCCCTTCGACTTGAAGCTATCGAGCCAGAGAGCAGCAGCCGATCAATAGACTCATATATGTAAAGTACCAATAGTACATTGGGCAACCTCCTTTAAAGTAGGGGCATAAATGTAACAACATCATGTAGTACCCTTCTTTATAGATAAGGAGATACTTTTGTGAATAAACACGCACAAATTACTGTTCGTTATTATTCACTCTTCTCTCTCTATCTCTGTCTCTCTCTCTCGCCCCTTCTTATGCTTTATTCTATATGTGTGATTCACATATAGATCATGATTCAACATTCTTTATAGATAAGGAGATACTTTTGTGAATAAACGCGCACAAATTACTGTTCATTATTATTCACTCTTCCCTCTCTATCTTTGTCTCTCTCTCGCCCCTTATGCTCTATTCTATGCGTGTGATTCACAGATAGATCACGATTCAACATTTATACACATTACAAAATATATAATGCTATTAAGGTTTTGTGTGGGATAATTGTTGGTATTTGTGAAACTAATTATGATATTGTTGTGATAAAATTGGAGTTTTAAAATTTTATTATTGGTATTGTATTTATTTTTTTTTTTGGGAAGAATCAAATAACAGTTTTCTCACAGGTAACTCATTTCTGGAGGCTATAAAAAGCTTCTCTGTTATTTCAAAAAAAACAACAATAAACTTGTTGCCAAACGAAACATCCCCACTCGTCCATGATGTATAAATCTATGAAAAATTTTCGCAGCAATAACCTTAGCTCTTGTTTGGGATAACCTTCGTTCTGTTTTTCAAAAATATTTGTTTGTTGTGTTTTTTATATGTTTTTATTTTTTTTTATTTTAAATAAATTAACATGTTTTCCAAGCATTTATAATAATATTTAGGTATTTTGGGTGTTTTAAAAAACAACATTATCTTAATAAAATATATAAAATTTTATTTTATATATTTTAAAAAATAAATTTTTTTTTTTTATTTTTTGTCTTTTGTGTTTGTTTATGCTTTTATTTTAAAAATATATTTATTTTTGTGTATTTTTTCATGCTTTTATTTTTATTTTTTAGAATAAAATAACTTATTTTTTTAAAAAAATAAAAATATCTTTAAGCTATTCTGAGTGTTTTTAAAAGTAACTAATAACTTTATAGCTTATTTCATATTATGATATAAACAAAACAGAACAAAAATTAAAAGTGATCCTGAAGAACTCCTTAATGTTTGATTTTGCTGGGTTTCTTTGGTTGGATCTTTATCATCTACTCTTTTCATGTCGCAGGTCGAGGGAAATTGGTCTGCCCCGTTTGTTTGGGCACCGGTTTGCCGAACAACAAGGGATTTCTCCGACGACCCGAGGCACGAAAATTACTCGACAAGATGTACAATGGAAGGCTTCTTCCCGGGCAATAGGTATTCACCCTCATCAGCTCACACACTGGACTTCAAAGAAGATTTACATGCATGACGCCCGGAGGCAGAACCAGAGACCTATCTCAGTGTGGGCAATTGCTCATCTGAATTTTATCAGAGAAGAGTTATGGATATATATATTTTTTTTTGTTGCATTATTTAGAAGCATAAGTTAAGCAGAATAACTCAATGCTAATCATCTCGAGTTCATATATATATTTTTATTTATTCTGTCAGCAGTGTGATTTAAATTTTAATTAATGAGCTATATATTGCAGTGATTTTTTTAAAAAATATAAGTATTTAGCACATGAAGTAAATGAACAAAATATCATTTATTGAAGTACATATTTATTGGAGGGTCGAGAGAGGGAGAGAGGGAGTAGGGGTGTAAATGAGCCGAACACGAGCGCGTTTATGTTTCAAGCTCAAAAAGTGTGTTCGTGTGCCGAACACAAGCCGTTCACAAACAAAGACTTGTTTTGACAACTCTAATCATTTCACACAGTCATAAAATGTTAAGGATTGGGGCAAGATTTAAAACATCATTTGAATTTAATTTAATAGTTTTTATTCTATTTTCTTCATTAATACTTTTAATTGATTATAAATTTTTGTAGTCTTTTAGTCAATTAATTTTTTAAAAAGGAGCCGAACACGAGCTTCTTAACGAGCCGAACAAGAACTGTTGGCGAACAACGAGCCTTTTTGACAGCCCTAAGAGAGAGGGAGGGAGGTGTAAGATTCAAAATAAAATAGGCATACTGAATATATATATTTTTAATATTTATAATATAATTTTATTGTATTTTATTTTATTAATATTTCAAAATAACATGGTTTTTTATTTTTTTTATTTTTAAAAATAAAGCAATTTTTACAAATAATTATTGATATAAAACATATTTTAATTCAAAATAAAATATTAAAAAATTTAAATAAAAAATAAAATGTAAAATAATAAAATTAATTTGGGTTCATTTTTATTTTTTTTTTATATTTTAATTCAAACGAAAACATATTTGATTATGATATAATTATTTTTAAAATTACTTATAAAATATTTTAAGGATTTTTTAAAATATGCTAAATTCTTTATAGAAAGTAATAAAATATGTAAAAATTACATTAAATAAAAGTAATTTAAAAATTAAAAGTAAATAAATAACTTGATTCCAAAAAAATCTCAAGTATTTTATAATTATTTATCGTGTCATTCATCAATGTTCGAGACTTATTGTTGAAAGTAATAATTTAATAGTATGAATTCAATGATGAGTTGAGCATCTTGATTAGAGCCTAAAAAATAAGGGCGTGTTTGGGAGAGCTTATCATAGCGATTGCGTTTTCAAAACGCCACTCATTGTTTGGATAATGCTTTCTGGCAGCGTATCCCGAAACGTTGTTCTCATTTTTGTATTAAACGCGGATTGCGGGTAGGACCCGACGATCTCCGTTTAGTTGGAGAGAAAGACATATTTAGCCCGCTTGCTTGCTTCCTTCTCGCGCACGACCGAAATGTTTTGCTCGCTTGCCCTCTCCCAATCAAAGCTCAACTCGCTTCTCCTCTCTACGAAGATCGCTCGACTCGTTCCTGCCGCACTGAAGCCCCATTCTCCTGCTTCCTTCTCACGCATGACCGAGACCTCACTCACCTGCCATCGTTCAGCCGCCTCCCTCTCCCGATCGATGTTCGACCCGCCTCTCCTCTCTACAACGATCGCTCGACTCCTTCCTGCCGCACTGAAGCCCCACTCATCTCTTCTCCTCTCTGCGTTGAACAACCCTCAGACTCGCCTGTCTCGCACGACCTGCTCCCTCTCTTGACCCCATTCGTCTCGCCAACTTCCTCACGTCTCACCAGAGCATTTTTTTGAAGGTATAGTTTTTTTTTTTTTAAGCAAATTAGATGGATGTCTTTCGCTGCCACGATTCCTCGTTGGTAAATGAGTATTTACATATAATTTTATTTCATAAAAGATGTTAGGGGCAGAATGATCATTTATCCATAATCAGTTGTTTTTGAAATATACAAACCAAACAGTCAGACAGTTTATCCTGGTTGGTTACTTATCAGCAGCTTATCAAGATAAATAACTTATCTGAATAAGCTGGATAAGCTGTAGCTGCCCCAAAGAAGACCCTAGCATTCAAAGTTATAATTATATAGTTTTCAAAATATTTGAGGGACCAAAATGATATATGAATTATGCATGTTTATAAGTGAAACATTCGTATTTATGAGAAACATTTAATTGGCTTAAGATTACGATGCATAAGATATATAATTATATAAAATACAATAATTCATCAAGAACCGACCGAAAAATTAAGTGAGATCGTCACTTTTGTTTTTTGTTTTTGTTTTTATTTTAAGAGTGCATTTATTTTAGTGCATTTTTTCAAGTTTTTGTTTTTATTTTTTTAGAACTATTTAATTTATTTTTAAAAACAGAAAAAATATCTTAAATTTATTTTGAGAATTTTAAAAAATAATTAATTATGTTATAACATATTAAAAATGTTTTATTTAATAATAAAATATAAACAAAATAAAACAAAAATTAAATGTGTTTCCAAATGACTCCTTATTTTTTGATTTTGCTTAATTTCTTTGGTGGGATCTATACCATCTACTCTTTTCATTTCACAGGTTGAGGGGAGTTGGTATGACTAATTTGTCTGGGCACAACTTTGTTGAATAACAAGGGACTTCTCCGATGAATCGAGGGACCATATATTATGAAAGACTTCTTTCATTTTTAAAAATAATTATTATAATTAAACATATATTAATTAAAATTAATACATAAATAAATTAAAATAAAAATGAAAAATAAAATAATAAAATAAAATTTATGATTTGGGATCGCTTTTGTTTTTTATGTGTAGTTATCTGTTTTTTTTATTTTTTAATTAAAAATAAAAGATACTTGAGTTAGTTGATTGAAATATAATTATTTTTAAAAACATTCAAAATAACTATAATTATTTTAACTGTTTTTTAAATCATGCTAATTTCTTATAGAAAAAAAATTATGCAAAAAATATATTAAATAAACATATTTTTAGAACTTTAAATTTAAAAAAAAATTAAGATTGATCCTAAATAAACTTCAAGTATTTCAACATTAAATGATGAGCTTCATTGGAGGTTCCATTCATGCATCTTTTGGTCGAGTCGATCATCAAGATTTGTGACATGCATAAATTTTAATTTAAAAAAATATATATATTATTTTTAAAACTATTATTTTATAGTGTCAAATAAGTGTTGGGACATATCACACAGTGTCAGTAGGGCTGTCAAAAATGCTCGTTGTTCGCGAACAGTTCGTGTTTGGTTCGTGAATGAGTTCAGTTTGGATTCGTTCTATAAGTAAACAAAACAAAAGCGAACAAATTTTTTTCTTTCGGTTAGTTAAACGAACCAAACACGAACAGTGATGCGTTCGTTCGTGTTCGAATCGTTATTGTTCGTAATATAAAATAATTATATATTAAAAATTTATGATATTTTAAAAAATTAATATTTATAAATTATAATGTATAATAAATTAATAATAATAAATATATTAATATACTATATTAGTAGTATACTAATATAGATATTATATATTTATATAATATAAGTTATATAATTAATATAGTATATTATTTATATATATATATTAATATTAGAGATGTCAAATTGGTTCGTCGTTCGCGATCAGCTCGTGTTCGGTTTGTTCTTTAAGAAACAAACACAAACAGTGACTTCACGAGCAATTTCAAACACGAACTTATTTCAAAAAAGCAAAATTTCAAATAAACCGAACACGAACACAAGCTCTATTCGTTTGTATTCGTGTTCTGTTCATTTACACCCCTAAGTGTCACTGTTCAATAAATGTCCCACAAAGTATAAAATATTGTTGAAATGTATACTTTAAATAGAGTAAGATCCAACTATATTGTTTAATTTGGTGTTTTAGATTGATTAATCGCAGACCAAATCCAACATCCCTCTCTGTATTTATGGACCGTCAGATTTTAAATCAAGGGCTAACATTTCACAATATTTCAGCCGTTGATGAATAATTAAATGGATGAGATTCATTAGGGCTTTCTCCGCGCGGCTATAAATACATCTTTGCAGTTCGTTTGTATTCGAGTACAAATCTTCTCTTCCTTTCGCGGTTGTCGCTCCAGATCGTATCCCATTGGTCCCGTAAGCATTTTTCCTCTCTGCTTTTGCGTTTGTAGCCAGCAGATTCTAACCCTATATCTAAGCTCGTAATTGGTTTTCGGCCGGCATCTCCTTCTAATCCTATACTGTTTTCGATCTCTGATTATTTTGGGTTCTTACTCTATGGTATTTAAATTTGATTATGCGAACTTATGGCTTTGGATGAAAACAATGGCGCTGAGATTTGCCTCACTTGTTTAGATTTAATTTTTTTTTAAAATTTCCAGTTTGTTTGATCTGTGAATATGATGTGTTTTTAATTTATTTTACTTCTTCGATTGAAATCGATGTGTAGAGATTTACATCACTTTTCTGTTATTTACTTGCTTACATACTGCTATCATTGTAGATCATACATTTGGTATTTTGACTTGTTTATGGATCATAGATTTTTTTATTCAACATAATTTAATAGCATTTAATGTACTCATATGGATTTGTTGTGTTGTATAGTGTCAGATCCTAAACCTTCAGTAGCTACTGTGAGCAACAACAATCTTTCTGAATTGTTTTTGAACAGAGTGGTGCATGAGAACTGTATCTAAGATGTTCTTCCTTGTGTTTATCGGTCACGCTTTCTTTTTAAATACATTTTTACGCTTGGCAAATTACGACTTCTAGTTTTTTTCAGTGTGATTTATTTATATTTTTTTATTCCGAAGTGAATCCTGAAGAGCTGTGATGATTATAAAAAGATACCATCAAACTCTGAAGAGAGTTTTGAAAAGAATCTATGTTGAGATAATCCAACCATTCTCTGAGCTTTTATTTTAACTATTAATTTTTTTTATTTCAGCTATTAAGTTGTTTTAATTGAAACATGCTTCATGAATCATACTTGATTATGAAATTGAAGGCAATAAATTAGAGTCTCTGATGCGTTTTTTATCAATAACGTCATCAGCGCTGTACGTTGCCGAGAAGAAAAGTGGGTGGGATTCTGGCAGATGCTTTTTATTTATATGGGGTTTCTGCATTCTGATCCCGAACATTTAGTTTTCATTTTTTATTTTATCCCTTTGGGTTCACTTTTATTTTATTTTCTTCAAAAAATTTTTTGCTTGGTATAATTTTTATATGTTTTCATTTGGCCAAATTATTGGATGGAGCACCTCTTATCAATTCTTTTTTGGGGAAAAAACACTAAACAAGTTAGGCGAATGAGCACAAACTCCACTATTGGGGGCTAACGCCTCTCCGCAGCATTTTTATTAAAATATCATTAAAATTAAATTATATATATATATATATATATATATATAAAATACCATTCTAATTAATTGAAATATTAGTATATATTATATATTATTATAAATAAGTTATAATTTTACATTATATTAATTGACATCTAAATAATATTTAGTTAATAAAAAATATACATTAAGAAAGTAAATTAACTAACCTGAATTGATATGATTTCGAAAATAATCAAAGTAATCTTTAAATATTTTTAAGTATTTTTAAAAATTGTTAGTTTAATGAAGCATCATATTCAAATGTTGAACACTTTTTAATCTTTCTATATTATGATGCATCATATCCGTATCTTAAATAAAAGATATATGCAATCCTCTCTTCTTTGTGGTGGTAATAATACCAATAGAGAATTTAACTTTTAAATTGATCTAGGCATTCTCCATCTTCTTTTTATTTTTGAGCTCGTTATTTATCTATTTTTTAGATCAGATTCTTTGAATCATCCCCTTAATTGATATTAGATACTCTTACTTTCTTTTTGATTCTTTGTGCAAAAAGATGGATATAGGGGCTTGAAGAAAATGGAATAATTGATAATGTGTGGATCAATGTCAAAGTTAATTTCTATATTAGTATTATTACCTCGGCGGAAACATTTGTTTTTTTGTCGCTTGCTTCTATTGACTTATTTTTGAGGTCAAAATCCATGAATCATCGCCTGCCATCGAGTTAATTACACATATTTTCCTTTGTTTTTATATGTACAAATTGGAATTAGAGCAAATGCCTTTGTTTTGTCTTGGAGATAAGAGATTCATATCATTTTATTAAAAGGAAGAGAGTCCAGGATTTAGGAATATTATATATTATGATAAATAGATGTTGTAAGAAAATTAATTTTTGAGCTTATTAAAAACATATACGGAGTATAATGAAATTTCTGTAAGGTATATCAGGAGTGGTTATGCTCTAAGTTTCATTATTCTAAACTTCATTAATTTGCTCAAATGTTCCAAAAAAAAAAGTCATTAATTGTTCTAATTTTTTTAAACTGTTATTCAGAATATTTTATTGTAGGGCCTATGATATTTAAATTTTGACCGTACCATCTGAGATCTGGTAAAAATCGCATCTTTGATGTTATTTCTTATGCTTATGAGGCCCTTTGTTTATTCTCCAGTTGTTTCATTTTTTTTATTTCGTTTGTTATGGCAAATTTATTCTGGATTTGGGTGCCATCAAACTGAAACAATCTCTAATAAGGATCCATGTTGATTTTATTTGATCACCGGCCACCATTTCATTCTCAACTCAAGCTAGATGCTGAGAAATTGAAAGAAATATTGTGTGCGGATGGAATACGTCCAGATTATGTGCGGAATTGTGGTATTGGCGATTATTAGTGGTATTGGGGTCATGGGGTGGTATTGGAGTGCAATACTATAATACCATCCCAATACTGCCCGAATACCACGGTCTGCATGTACGACCAGTGCTGATTTCTGTGTGGAATTTGCATTCAGGTCTCAGATAAAACATTTTTGGCTTTGGGGTATCATAAGTATGCAGGCTGAAGAAATTATTCCTCTAATTATTTATGTAATACCGCCTCTGTAGTTATCTGAAATAATGAATTGCTAAACTTGGATTTATATTGTTTTGGTACGGCATTTAAATTATTTGTAGAGGGATATTATAATGATTGGTAACATATTATTTTTATGGCAGGCTGAAGTTTCTAACAGTATTTTGGGTACTTGTTTGGTCTTGAATTTGATAGCATTTGAAAATGTTTGTTTAAATGTGATGTTGTTTTACTCGTGAAATCAATAAATTTTTAGTTCAAATGTGGGTAAAATTTTCATTTTTATCTCTATTGTTTTTTTTTTTTTTGGAAAATTTTGGTGCATGGCACATAGTTCGTATATATTTACATATCTAAAACCCAACGCTTATGACATTTTGGTGTTTAAAAATTGGAAAGGTGTGTTTAACTTGACGTCTCAAATTTAATTGCCTTCAATATATTATTGTTTTTTGATCGTGCGATAAAATGTGGAAGGACTTGTGATCAGAGTTCTAGCCATAAAGTATTGTTATTAAATTTGGATGAATGCTAAAACCAAGACATTAGTTTCCTTTCATGGCGCTGGTGCGATGTGAAGTTAAAAATTTGAGTGTCAAGCATGTAAATTTAACATCATCATATCATATCCTCCCATTTAGATAGGGAGATAATTTCGTGAATAAAAACAGACGAATTCTTCTATCTTAGTTTTAATTCTTCTCTCTCTCTCTCTCTCTTGCAGCCAATAAAAAATTTCTCAGTTTTCTCTCTCTCTCTCTCTCTCTCTCTCTCTCTTGCAGGCAATAAAAAATTTCTCAGTTTTTTATGATAATTTCATAAAAATAACAATGAACTTCCAGCCAAACAAAATGTCCCCGCATGCTATGATGTAAATCTATGAAAAATTTTCCCAGCGATAACCTTAGGTCTTGTTAGGTTCAATTGTCTTTTGCTTTTATTAAAATGTACTTTGCTTTTATTAAATAGCTTCATTATTGAAAAGTAGAAAAGCAGAGAGTAATGGATATTGCGTCCTCCGATCTGGATGGCAATGCCGATGCTGTTGAGTTCTGTACAAATCCCACATTCCATCATCTCCTCGCTGCAGCTACCTACACACTGCAGGAAGATGAAGTTCAGCCCATCCGCACTGGAAGCATATCCCTCTTCTCCGCCACCTCTTCTGGCCTCAAGTTGCTTGATTGCGTGCACGCTCCTGGCATCTTTGATATCAAGTGGAACCCGAGCGTTGGTGAGGCCGGTACCATAAGCAATAGCACTGCCCATCATCCCTTGCTCGCCCAGGCCACTTCTGATGGATTTCTCACTCTCTACAGTTTACATCCAACCGGTATGATCATGCAATTTGTTCCAAATCTTAAACTTCTTTAACCCAACAATTAACTCTGTATTCCAAAAGGAATATAAAACAAGAATTTTTTTTTTTGGCACTACAGATTTTTCATTGTTAGAAGTTTGTAAAGAGGAAGTCAGCTCCTCCATGTGCTTGTGTGTGAATTGGGATTCCAGTGGCAGCTCGACCTCAGTAGGTCTTTCTGATGGCTGGGTTTCCACTCTTGTATTTCGTGAGGATCGGTTGCAGATAACACAATCCTGGGCAGCCCATGAATTTGAAACTTGGGCAGTTTTGCCCGATTCTCTCCAACCTCAGTTATTGTACACAGGATCTGATGATTGTTCTTTCAGCTGTTGGGATTTGAGGCAGAATTCTTCATCATCAACAGTTTTTCGAAATACGAAATCCCATAAGATGGGTGTCTGCTGTATTGCGCAATGTCCCAGTGATTCTAACATGTTGCTCACGGGGAGTTATGATGAGTTCATTCGGGTGTGGGATGTAAGATGTATATCTAGACCTTTCATGGAGAATTCTTTGTGCTTAGGGGGAGGAGTATGGAGACTTAAGTATCATTCATTGATTAAAGGATTGGTTTTGGCGGCATGCATGCACAGTGGTTTTGCTATTGTGAAAATAGATGGAGAGAATATTAACATATTGGAAACTTATACTAAGCACGATTCACTAGCATATGGAGCAGATTGGCAAAGAGCCGAGTGTGTGAAAGATGGAGGTAGAAGTGGATTACTTGTGGCTACTTGCTCATTCTATGATCGGCTTCTAAGGCTTTGGAAACCGTACAGCTTGAAATGAAGGTATACGTATTAGTTAACTCTCATTTATATCCATTTGGTGAAGTGAATGAATATATACTCTAATGTTTTCATTTTTTATTCCAGATTTAAAATTAATTATTCTGCGTAAATTAAAGTTTTCTTATAGATCTATCCTTGTGAGTTGCGTTGGGAAGGAATTTTGCAAGTCTCTTAAAGCTGTTAACTTCAATAAAATTTCTGCATGAATTAATGTTTGGGGATTGTCAAATGAAGCCGCGTACGGTAGCCTGATGCAATGATATTATCCTGATCCTAAACGAAAAATAAAGTTGCTACAGATAGATTACTTACATGATTAATTTTATAATTTTTAAGTTCATTATAAATGCTTTAACATAGGACATATCCCACGGTATTCTATTTCATTCATGCTAGTTCTTCATAGGACATAAGACATTAAGTTCATTAACTTGGGAAGGGAGAACTCTTAAGAGGGAGCATCCAATTTAAGTTGGTGTGAGAGTGAGAAATATTTACATCATTTTTTAATGCTGAACCATCAACTAAAAAATTGAATACATTGACTATTAAAGGGAAAGGAATTAGATCTTTTGTAGCTTAATATATAAGAAGGTTGAATGTTATCATTGATCTTGATAGCTTTATATAAATTTTTTTTTTAAGGATTAGAAAATATTACTTCAAGATGAATCCTCTCAAATTCTCTTTTGGATTTTTATTGTAATTGTTCCATGGCTAGTGGAGATAAAATTTAATGATGACTTACAACCCTAATACTAAGGTAGCATTTAATAGAAAAATATTTTCTCCTATCATTCTTCATAATCATTATACACTTTTTCATTTGATTAAAGAACTTATATTTGGTCTTGTGGAGCATTATAGATTAATATATCAATTTGAGAGCTAATACATAATTACTTATATCTTAATTATAAATGAGTTAGAATCATTAATGAACATACTGTATATATAGGCTCTTCTTAATGCTTAAGGATTATGTCAGAAATAATGTGCAATTTAAGGTGTCAATTGTGGAGGGATATATAGATGAAGAATGTATATATTTTTGTTCTAAACATCTAGAGGGGTCTTAAAGAACTCGTATATATCATATATGTAGGTACATCAGGACGTTTAAATGAGGAACAATTACATTATAAATTTTTTAGTGGAGGAATTTCAATATGCAAGATGGCATCATTTGTTCTAGATGATATATCTTTTGTTCAAGACCATAGATATGTTCTTCAACATTTTTATAATATGGCCTCTTAGCCTCTTATTGAGAATTATTTATTGCTTGCAAGTAAAAAACGAGAAGCACATGCATAAATTTGAATACCTCAAACATTGAGAAGTCACATGCATAAATTTGAATACCTCAAACATTGAGAAGCTTCTGAATCAAAGATTCCATGAATGTTTCAAGTGAGAAGTACACTGCATTAAACTCTAAATAAATACTAAATATAATTTTTTTAATGACATCTTTATTTCATTACAAATTAAGTGCGCCAATGATTTTTTGATATCTGGAGAAATTGAGGCAGTTGGTAATCGCACTAATAGAGTTGTTCATGGTATAAATGTTATTTTATAAATAGGTATAAATTCTACACCAAAGCATATGACAATAATAAGAGGTCTAAAAATTATGGCGTCTTTAATATAATAAAAGTTAGTGATTTACAAATTCTACACCAAAGCATATGACAATAATAAGAGGTTTAAAAATTATGGTGTCGTTAATATAAAAGTTAGTGATTTAATCTGAACTTATTTTCAGATTTATCCGTGTTTTTTTTTTTCTTCTCAAGTGGAGCAATTTAGTTATTGAATATCCAAAGAACATAATTTGGAATTTTGCTATTAGAGTTAAACCAAGAGATATATTTTATTGTAGTATAACTTCTATTAGATGATAAATGGGCTTGACTGTTGCAATCAATCTGGACAAGCTTCCATAAATAGTAAGATATCAACATATTATTTTTATTTTTCTTTTGAAATGTTAATTTACATGATGTTGAAAAACTCAACATATTATTTTTATTTTTCTTTTGAAATGTTACTTTACATGATGTTGACACAACAAAAATCATAGCATTTTCACCACTTAAAGATCCCAAATCCATACTTTTACCACCACCTACCAACTCTTTAAAAGGTGAGACCCTGAGCTAAGTTTGTTCATGGATTCTTGTTTTTATTTGTAATTGGTTATTTGTTATAATGTTTAACTCTAGATTTATTGATGTGTACTGGAAATGTGATTTTTTATGTTTTATTCTTATCTGATTTTATGTTACCTTTGTTAGATATTATAGTCTTTAAATTTCTTTTATTTTACCCTACTTAAGGGTAGTTTTTGCTTAATTTCTTTATCATCTACTCTTTTCATTTTGCAGATTGAGGGAAATCGGTATGCCTAGTTTGTCCAAGTACCGGTTTGCCGAATAACAAGGGACTTCCGGCGACCAGTGGCGCACAAAATCGAAGGTTCCTTCCGTTTTTAAGAATAACTATCTTGACTAAACATATATTAATTCAAATCAATACATAAATAAAATAAAAAAATGAAAATAAACAATAAAAAATCAAATCACTTTTTTTATGCTCTTATTTGAAATTTTTTTTAAAATATGTTAATTTTTTTATAAAAAAATTAAAAAAATTAAAGTTATTCTAAATAAGCCTAATGTATTTCACTATTAAATGATGAGCTTAATTGGAGGTTTCATTCATGCACCTTCTGGTGGAGGCAATTATCAAGGGTTTGAGACTTAAATAAATTATATTTTTAGAAATCTTATTTTTTAAACTAACATTTTGTGTCTAACAAATGTGGGGACATATTGGATCAGTGCCGGTGTCTTATATGAACACATTGTTAGAAGTTTAGGTGTTATATGGTTTAATATGGTGTTTTAGATTATGAAAAACAAAACACAAAGAATTTCAAAAAAATTTCATAAAAAAAATCTGTGAAATTGGTTAATAATTTTCAGCGTAATTGTAGACCAAATCTGACATCCCTCTGTGTTTTTGGGCCGTCGGATTTTAAATTAAGGGTTAAGATTTCACAATATTTCAGCCGTTGATGAATATTTAAATGGATGAGATATATTAGGGCTCTCTCAGCGCGGCGATAAATAGAGCTTTACAGTTTGTTTGTTTTGAAGTACAAACCTTCTCTCCCCTTCGCGGTTGTCTCTCCAGATCGTATACAATTGGTCCCGTAAGCATTTTTCCTCTCCGCTTTTATCTTTTGCGGTTCTTAGCCGATAGATTCTAACCCCAGATCTAAGATCGCAGTCGGTTTTCGCTCCGCATCTACTGCCATTCCATACTGTTCTCGATCTCTGATTATATTGGATTCTTGCTCGATGGTGTTTGAATTTGGCTTTGCTTGTGAGATGTATGCGAACTTATGCTCTTGGATGAAACAATGGTTCTGAGATCTGTATCACATAGTATTTTGACTTGTCTATGAATCAGAGATTTTTCAATTCAAAATCGACAAACATTATTTAATTGCATGTAATGTGCTCATATGGATTTGTCGTGTTCAATAGTGTCAGATCCTAAACCTACCTGAATTGTTTTTGAAGATATTAGAGCTGAACCTAAGATGATCTTCCTTGTGATTATCGGCCCCATTTTTTGCTTTTTACATCCACATAATGCTTGCCTGCTGCTTCTAGTTGTTTTCAATGAATCTTGGAAGAGCTGTGATGATTACAGAAAGAAACCATCAAACTCTGAAAGGAGATTTGAAATGAATCTATGTTGGGATAAGCTAATCATTCTCTGAGCTTTTATTTCCGCTTAATTGAAATTTGCTTGATAAGTCATTTTGGATTATGAATTGTAAGGCAATAAATTAGAGTCTCTGATGCGTTTTTATCCATAACGTCATCGGCGCTGTACGTTGCCTAGAAGAAAAGCGGGTAGAGATTATGGCAGATGCTTTTTATTTATATGGGGTTTCTGCATTCTCATCACTAACAATTGGTTTTCTTCTTTTATTATCCTTTTTTTTTCTTCTATTTAAAAATGTTTTATTTTAGAAGATTTGCATGTATGCCACTTGATTCTTTTGTTTTTACATATCTATCACCTAAGCATGAATAGTTGCATTTCTCTTTTTAGAAGCTAAATAATGGTATTCTTTTTATATGGTGAAAGGCTTAAGTTGTGTCAATGTAAAAAGCAAAGCTTAAGTTCACCTTTTTTTTTTTTTTTTTGTTTCTACAAGGAAATTAAGTGTTCTTAGAAATTGGTAGTTTAGCATTTGTGATGTCTCATTATCATCATGCATCATATCCCTTTGTCCCACATTTTCTTCTGGTAATTGATACCGGCATTCTCAAATCTTCTATTTTTTTTTATTAGCTCCGATGTCTTATCTATTTTTCAGATTAAAATCTTGAACTTGAAATAAATAATCATTATTTTTTTTAATTTTTTGAAGTCTTTATCCATAATATGTCATTGTAGGGCCTATGATATTTAAATTTTGACCGTACCATCTTAGATCTGGTTAAAAACCACCATCTTTGATGTTATATCTTATGCTTATGAGGCCCTTCTGTCTTAAAATTGCTTTCATTATTATTGCTTTTTTTTAATTATGTCTGTTAACGGTAAATCTAATCTGCATGTTTATCCTCGCCTTTCTCCAACCCATCCATCCACCATTAACGACGTCCTAATGGCATCCGCAAGCTGCACAACTAATGCTATTTCCTGCATATCTTTCCTTTCGACCTCTGCATCTAAGGGGATGTTTGGGGCGGTTAATATGAAATATTTAATTTTGGGTGTTGAAGGATGTAAATTAATGCGTTATAGGTGGTTTCTTTATAATTTCTTTTTCTAATTCGAATGAATGTGCAAATGTTTAAATTTCAAATTGTAGTTTTTTGAATGCTAGGGTGAAACCATACGTTTCTCTCTAGAATAAATGTTAAAAACTTCATTTCTCTGAATGTTTATATAATACAGACTGAAATTATTGGGAGAAGGGTATTGTAATGGTTGATAGCATATTATTATTTAAGATAGTTTATAGTTGATAACGGTATTATGGGTCCTTGTTTGCTTTTGTTTATGAGGGAAATTGAAAATATTTATTTAAATGTAATTTTGATTTACTCTTGAAATCAAAAGCACTTGGCTTATTTTGATCTTTTTTTCCTTTGAAAATTTAGGTGCATGCCACAAAAATCGTATGCATTTACATGTGAAATTTAGGTGAATTTAGGTCAGCAAGTTGAGCTTAGATCTGTCCTGAAAATGATAAGCTGAATAGAATTAACTCAAATCTGACCTGAATAATAAATGGGTCAAAAATTAATACCTATATCTGACCTGAACTCAAGCTTAACTCTTAATTCAAACTTTGTTTCCAAATTTTGTGTTTATTAGAGTTGCTTGAAAAGTCCAACTTCGCGTAAAAGTCTGCCCCATGTGCATAAAAAATAAAAAAAAAGAACGAATGCACTCGACTCCGCCTTACTAATGTGTTATAAAAATATTACATTGCATAGAAAAATTTTCTCACGATATTTTGAATATTAATATTTTTAATGTTATTTGTCTTATTATTGTATTATTGAGGTGATTCAAGGAAATGATAAAATAAAAACTTTTACCAATGTTATTGATTTGATATTCATGAGTTATTGATGTCTTATTTAAGTAATATTTTCCTTGTTATTATGTGTTTTTGGTATTATTGTTTAAAGAACAATAACATTTCAAAATCACGTAAATAACATAAATAATATGAAAAATATTTAGAATAATGCGAGAATATTCCTATAATATGGTCAAGCGAGTCCTGTATTTCAAGCAAACAGCTCTGCATGTGGAGTCTGATTTAATATTTTTTCTAAATTTTGAGAGCTTCGGGAGAGATTGTACTGTTTAAATAAATTTTCTAGATTATAGAATGTGTAAATAACTATGTTCTTTCATGGCCGCAAAGAGCACACCATATCCGTGAAGGTCAAATTAATAAATTTTCTAGATTATAGAATGTGTAAATAACTATGTTCTTTCATGGCCGCAAAGAGCACACCATATCCGTGAAGGTCAAATTAATAAATTTTCTAGATTATAGAATGTGTAAATAACTATGTTCTTTCATGGCCGCAAAGAGCACACCATATCCGTGAAGGTCAAATTGAGTTCAATTGTTATTTCTTCATTACACTCTAAACCTTTATATAAAAAGCAGAAAGCATTTCATTATGTTCTATCAAAATGGCCACAAAGCCTGTCCATGTTCCATTTTAAGAAAATGTTACATTTATCGCTCATCATTCTAATTAAAAAAAAGTAACAATTATAATGCGAATGAAAGCCAAGTGTTGGTAGCATTTTCTCATACGCAAAACATAAACATAAAATGTAAAATGTGTGCCTTAGATTGAATTTTGTATAGTCGGGCGCACATTACATAAGCTGATGGTCAATGAAATTGGCAGAAATTTTTTAATCAGCACTTATCTACACTTTAACTAAATAAATAAGAAAGATATTCTACCAACCAAATATTAGCTTCAGAAGATTGATTTCTATATAAAAGTTGATTGATTTAAATTTGATTTCGAATTTCTCACCTAATTAATGCAGTAATCACACAATATCTACACATTGAAGCAGAGAAAATTAAATACATAAATTACTTACATGTCAGATGTTTTTTTGAATCATTTCCCGAACTTCTTCAATAACAAGCCATGCTTTATGCCCTCCAATTACCTCGGCTTTGCATTCGCCATCCTTCCATAGCTACACGGTTTATGAACACCCAGCAATAATTTTCTATTGAGGCAAAACTATTATAGTAAAAATAAAAGAAGAATGTTGAATACCTGAATTGTGGGCATTTTCTGAGAAAAATCCATAAATAAATATTCAGAAATGGCATCGAATTTGAATGAAATTAATGAAATATCATTATATAAATAAAAATGGATGTGAGCTATAACTTTATCATACAACTCTTATGTATTTATAAATCTAACACCGAAAGTTTCATATTTCTATTTATACCATTGGTGTCGTATATGAAATTTTAGGTGTTTGATATGTTAAATACATAAGAATTGTGTGGTGTGTGATAAAAGGCCAAAAAAATATGACTTACAGTAACATTTCCACGCTTTACCAGAGCTTGTGGCACCTTGTTTACATCCACAAAATAGAACTGAACTCTGTAAATTGAGAAAGAGCATATTCCAATTTCTGATTTTATGATAAAAAAAAATTGATAATTTAGAAAAGAAACCAACCTGGGGTGGAACTCAGCTGCAAGTTTCTCCAGTTTGGGCTTCAAATAAATGCATTTTCGACACCACGATGCAATCCTGCACAATCAGAAATAAAAATTATATAATGTTTAAATTTTAGTTTTTATATTTATTCCACCCAAAAGTCTTCCATATCATATAAAAAAATGTCATTATAATTTCTAAAAAGTGAAATACATGTTTTTCATGCATAAATAAAACTGCATATGTATAAGAAATGAAGTTAACAGTGAAAATATGCAAATACATAGAATTCATTTGTCATGTATCTAAATCTTACCTTTTTTTATCAACAATCATAGAATTCTAAATGTTAATTTCAACCAATGTATTACGCATTTGAGCGCTATTGACATACTCTGTTAACATAAAGAAACTAAAGAGCAATACATAATTATATCAGGTAATTAAATTCTCTCTCTCCCACTCTCATCAATTTATCAAACAATGAATATGGGCAATACCAGAAAATTGAAGGTTAGAAAATTGATAGGATCAATCCTATATTTTCAGAGAAATTTGGGTAAAAAAATATTTTATTACGAGAACATGAAAAAATTCAACACAAATATATAAATAAGCAACTAAAATTCAAAAGGTAGGCCATCTCTCCAAAATCCTACAATTTGTGAGAGAGGAAATCTCTCTCAAACCCTAATCCTAAACATATTAGTCATATTTATACTAAATCATAATAAATGACAAGAGTAAATTGTTTATAGGCTAATAAAAGATAAATTTTTCCGTAGGTGCCGATCTAAAATTACTCTTATCCAGACATTGTCCTCGAGGTGGAAAAGATGAAATTGTTGTTGAAGCACTTGGTTCCCATGCGACATTATCAACTGGCAATTCTTTCCATTTATCAAGAATTCATGGTGGCCATCCTCTTCTTGAAATGTCGTCTTGTGCACTCCCTTTGGCCACATTCGAATCGAATAGTGTCCTGAATTCCAATCAATCTTAGATAATATTATATCAAACAACCATCTAGCAACTCATCGATAACTAGAATTCCTATGCAACTCGATCAAGAATTCCAATCGTGTCCTGAATCGCCCTCATCATAGTCTTCAGAGTCACCGTCCTCTCTCTTCAGAATAGTTTGCAGTACAAATCATTCCCCTATAAACTTCCCCGCTCATCTCCAGCTATTTCGTTCCCACCATTACTTCTCAATCTCCTTTTGCCAAGAAGGTTGTCATCATAAAAGGCACTTACGAAGTTGGATGCAGCCCTCTGTCGAGGTCCCACTAACTGTGGTTCTCTATCCTAGGTCAAAATTCTTCCAAGTGATCTTCTCCAGCCATGAATCGCACGTTGTCTTGATCGGTCTGCCGCCGCCCGTTCCATACCTCCAGATGTCGCACGAATTCGTTCCCAACTCTTTCGTTCAACCTCGATTGTTTTCGTTTGTTCCAGTCATCTGAACGTACTGTTATTTCTCCTAAGTGATGTCGCTCGAGTCTGCTCCTGATTTTCCTTAAGTGGGCACACTGCCCTGATGTAGCATGAATCCTTCTGGTTGTCGGCGCTTGTGCCTATTCTCGAAGTTATTGCTCCTACGATGGGCGGATGTTATTTTGCGTGAAACTTTATGAGTTTATTCATCATTTCTTTTAGGGTCGTGAATCTTCGCTCAAAACGCCCCTCCACGAAAGAGAATCAATCATCCATTTCATATCTGATTTGACTCGCCTCTTTCTTAAATTTCTTCTCCATAATATATATATATATAT